TCAAGCTCGATTCTTAGACATTTTAATGGAATCCACTGATTTGTTAATGAGGTTTCCTTAAGAGAGTAAGCAAACACTTAACGATTTACCATAGCAAGACAAAGGGATCAACATTATTAAATATTAATAAACAGTACCTCGTGTCTTTCCATTGTATATGCAGGGTCCGTTAACGCCGCTTGATAGGCTCTTAAGATGCTGCATGAGCTACTTTTCGAGCACAAGTTTAACAAAGGCCACATCTTCCTCAAAAGCAAGCGGGTAGCACAGTTCATACTGTATTAAATCCGCGTATTATTATCCATGAATCCTGTCAACTGCCTCATACGTTATTTAGTACCAACGACGGCAGTAAGTACGCCAAATTCGGCCGCATTAATAAAATACTTGCTTTGCATGGTAAGTATCTGATTCTTTTATCCAGGCGTTCAAAGTCATACCTAATAGTATGCACAAGACATGACTGACCCCGGCACGAATTATGATTCTCGAAAGCCGTCTTCACCACGCTTTTGGGGTAATTCTCTACAGTCTGGTGACGAAATTTTGGAAGTGGCATTCACTCTTACTACCAGATTATAATGGTCGGAATAAAACAAGATGGTGAGATAAACTTGACATAAGGAGCACGTCCAGCACGTCTCGAAGGATTAATTTACACACAACAATTTTAGATCAAAACAAGTTTATGTTTGTTGCATGAGGATCGTCTAGTGAAGTTTCGTCAAGTTAATACTTGTTATACAATTAATCATCAAGTGAAGTCTCGTTGAGTGAAAATTAGCTAAGTGGTCTCGTCAGCGAAGTATAGTCGAGTAAAGGCTCGTCGAACTAATCGTCATCAAGTGGATACTCGTTGAGTGGAGGCTCGTTGAACTAAGCCTCATTATGTGGATTCTCATTGAGTGAAGAGTCCTCAAGTAAAGCCTCGTCGAGTATAGTCTCTTCAAGTGAAGACACTATATACATAACTTACCGATTTCAAGCTCGCCGAGCTTAAGATTGTCGAGGCCAATTTTACGAGCTTGTACTCAGCGAAGCAGCTGAGGTCTACACAGTCTGCTATACTACGTCATTGTTTAGGATTTATACAGGGGGTGGAAAGAAGTCACACGACAGGGTCCCTTACAGTAGAAGAAGATGTATTTAAAAACAGAGCAACTTTATCTAAATCCAAGACACGTGCGAACTTTAAAATATCCGTGCGCGGTCTACATTGTCCCTGCAGTCAAACCTTTTAAGGCATAGTTTGTAAATGTTTCGACTGAAAGCTACAAGGGTTTAGGTTATTCTTAGGTGGGAAATGCTTTTTTTAACGAAAGAAAGAGTCTCATCTGTCTTCTTTATTTAAGCGTTTACTGCGCCGGGTGACCTGTAAGCGCGTGTAAACAACGACATTCCCCCATTTTTGTAAGTCACAAGAGTGTGAAACATAAAACACACTAAAATCAGGCAGTCTCAAGGAGGAATGTGTTGCCAGGAATCCAATACTTAAAAATTCAAGGCCAAATCCAAAGGAGCAAAATGCGAAAAATATCCATCTTGATGTTCAATTTAGATTGCGTCGGCTTACTTGGCGATTGTTGTGTCATCACGATGAGAATGTAATAGCGCACGTTTAAGTATGTACTTTACCACAGCATTATACAACTTACGTACTTAATTGCATTCAACGCGCACTAACTTGTAGTGCGGCTGTAAGGGCGGATCTGGCTTTTTGAACGCAATCCAGATAAAAACGCTTTTATTTTTGTGCCCGGTCCTATGCGATTTTGCTCGCAAAACGTCAGCCGCCTTGCAAACTCTTCCTAGTATCGTTGCCCTACTTCCGCACCGTACAACTAAATAAGTCTGGTAGGATTAAGTTCCATCCTCTTTGCCAAGTTGTAAAATTTGGATCGGTTGGCTATTGTCACTTGTTGACGTTGACTAAAAATTCGAGTAAAAGCTCGAAATATATCAGACACTTTTTACGACTTTCTATCGTGACAAATCGCTTCACCAGCCCCGAAACGACGTAAACCACATTCTTCATTCGATTCAGCGACCGTCTAAGCTCTCGTTGACGCGATAATCTTGGCCATCACATATCCGGTTAAAAAGTCAACCACATCAAGAGATCTGTATTATCTTTATTTGACCAGGCAGAGACGGGCATGTCCATCGCTATAACCTGGAAAGGATAAACCACTTCAATTTTCCTTGAGCTCTCAACTTGTAGGCTAGGTCCCCCTTATTCCAACAATCCATGCAAAAACTAAAACATCTTTGATCTCTCCAAAACAGACCCGTTTAGTGACAGTACCGCCTTTCAGTTGGCATGTACATCCGATTTTTTGATTTCCGGACTCTAAACTCGAATGTAATTGGCAGAGGATGTCAGTTTAGGGACTTTCCGGTTCACCAGTCTGACCGTCATGTCATGTTCTCCTTCTTCGACTCTCAAGTTCGTACAATGCACCAACAATCCTTCCTCGCTATTATCTTAATTTTCGTTCATTTTGACGTGCTTATTCGCTGACTCCACGAGCACATCATTTCACTGCCTTTTAAAATACTTTTTTAAATAGCGTACACATCTCTCCCGTTCTTAGGCATTTAATAGTCGGCTCACGCGGAGTCGATACACTAACTCCTCTTATTTAATCTAGCCGGATTATATAAGAAGACCGGTAGCCAATTGCGACAAAAAATGTTTTCGAGAGTCGTAAATTTTAAATTTATAGCAGCTCCAGTAGACTATTGATCTCATCCAAGCCTAGTCTTTTTCCGCCTGGATTAGTCTTTGCTTCCCCCTTTTTTTGGTGCACGGAGGTACTAGCCAGCTGATCTGCGCTCCAGTCTCAATCTCGTTGTACAAGCAGGATGTAACGAGTAGCTCGTTCATGATATTGACACCAAACGTATTAATAGAAATACTGTCTAGCATGAAAATTCCCTGCCAACATTACCCGAGATGGATAGTATTGAAGGAATATTATTACGTTGTAGGATACTATTTATGTGCTGCTTGAAGATTGGATGATATAAGACATGTCAACCATCGATTACCACCAATCGCTGCTAGACGCGCGTAATGAGTAGTGAGCAGGTTGTCGTCATACGACAATGTAGATTAATCTCGCTGGATAAAGACTGAAGTTGTATTGATAGCTTAACTGTGTTAAGTACAGTCCTCTTTTTACCTTTTGCTCAAACTAGCTGTTTGAGTAGATCAGCTTCCTCTGGACGTACTAGTGTACGTGAAGTTTCGTGGCACCCAGACAAAGGGTGCCCCGTCCTGGTAGCACTTTGCATTCCGTCCAACGACTACTTAGTGTCACCTGGTAGCACTTTGCAGTTCGTCCAACGACTACTTAGTGTCCGTCCAACATGGACATGTTGGACGTAGAAGACGACAGCTTTTACGTCACACGTGAAGGCTACAACCATCTGTGTGACTAAGAATGGGAGATAGTCGGCCGCATGAGTGTTCTCATGAGCGAACCCGCCATCAGTGGCATGTTGGAGTCTCTAAGCAGAGACCAGCAACATGCTGCTATCAACAAGTTCCTGAAAGGGGAACTTGCCGTCGAACGACAGAAGATAGATTTGCTACAGCAGCAAGGCTCTCATCAGTCGATGGGCGGGCCGACGCACATGATTCAACCCGAAACCTTGAAGATTAATATCTCAAGGTATAAGGGAACCGATGAAGATTCCCTTTTGAGATGGTTTGTCGAGTTAGACGATGCCATCAAGGCCCGTCAAATCGAGGGTGACGAGATGCAAGTCACCTTCGCCCTGTCAAATTTGACAGGACGAGCAAAGACTTGGGCCTTAGGGCCCAAGCTCCACGACCCAAACTTGTTTGAGTCGTTGGAGACCTTGAAGTCTCGGCTCAAGGAAACGTCTGAGCCGCCGAGAGCCGAGCTTCGATCACGCTCTGCACTCTTGAGGCTAAAACAAGGTAAGCGTGACGTGCACGCTTATGCATAGCACCTGCGCTACCTTGCGAGTAGCGTTACGGAAACCCCTGTTGATGAGCTCACACTCATCAACGTGTTCATACACGGCCTTTTAGATGGGCCGGTGAAGACCTACACATTCCGAGAGAACTTCCATAAGCTGGAAAAGTCGATAGCTTATGCGGAACAAGAAGACTTCAGCCTGAGACAGGCTAACTCGTCAAACTATCGTCCGACGAGACGACAGGAAACAGGAGGTCCCGAACCAATGAACCTCTGTTACATCGAGAGCGAGAACTCTCGCTCTCTGAGTTACAAGTGAACGGCAAGATGCCATCGCTGTTAGAAGATTGGACACTACGCTCATGAGTATAGTGTCCCGGCACCGCAACACGTCCAAAGACAGGACGTGATGACCACCGTTGGCCAAGGAAAGGTCCAAGGCGTGGGTCCGACCATGTCGCTAAGCCGCGACAGTAAGTCGGACCGTCAAAAAACGGAGAGGGTCAGTAGGGGCGGAGCACCCTGATGATCCAGCAACGTCAAGAGAATTCGCAGGACTCTTGACCAGGATTGCTCCCAACAAACAGTCTCTGTGTGTTACTGCCCTTAGTGATGAGAAGTCTCTCATCACTTTGAAGATCGAAGTGACAAGTGGAATGTCACTTTGCGCCCTAGTTGACTGTGGGGCGTCGAACAGTTTTATTCGACGCCAGTCGCTAGGGGATTGTAGTCTCAACTATGCTAAGCGAGAGTTCCCTCCAACGAGGATGACGGTGTGCCTTGCTACAGGCGCATCCGTAACAGTGAACAAACGTGTAGTGGGAATCCACTGTACGCTTGAAGGAAAGCAGTACGATGATGACTTTATCGTATTGGATTTAGATGACAAATTTGATGTCATCCTGCGTCTGCCATGGCTTAGAAAATACCAGCAATGGGTTAGCTGGCAGCATCGATCCGTGAAGATGCCTGCCGTTTGTTCATCGGATGGCCATCGGATAAACGTCTTGGAGCGTCCACAAGCGTGTGGATGCACTACGAGTGAGTGCGATGGCCTCAGTTGTGGTACGGTCGTTAGTACGACTGCACAAGATCAGTGTAGAAGTCCACTACACTGTGGAACCTGCTTCCGGCACCTGTGTAGAGACACAGGCTGCGCCGAAGGTTCACCACTCGAAGAGATCGAGTGGACCGGAACACGGATGCACACCAAGAAGGGTGCATCCAAGAAGAGATATTAGTGTTGTTCAGGATAAAGAACACGTTGAAGCGATATCGACTTGCAGAAAGTTGATCGAAGAGAACGTGACTGTGGTGGTACACCCACAGTCAGTACACGTATCGGAAGAAAGTTCCAGCGTTTCTGAGAGTGATAACTCCCGAGAAAGTTATGTTGAGAGTGTGGATCCCCAACCACCTGCGGATGTGTTCTCCCAGGAAATCACCGAGACAGTGAATGTCTTGGTGAATGACGGATCGAGTGTAGGCGATTATACACTTGACCTGGTTACGCCCTCGAAGTCAGCTTCGGAGGTGGTCAAGTTGGCAACGCTAGAATCTAAAATATTCTTGCGAGATCTACGAAGTGACAAGATCAAGCAGATCTGCGTACTAGTCACAGAGGACGAGTACGTCACCGATATTCGATCGGCACAAGTGTTTGCTGAGAACGAACGGGTTCTCAGTAGCTCATCGATGGACGAGAGTGGCCTCGATGAGAAGACTCGGATTGAACGATACACGTCTCACTCTTGGGAGTCTTTGAGACAATCCTTCGTATAAGGATTTGGTCGAATTCAGGGATGTTTTCCTCGAATCCGTGCCATGCGAGCTGGCTAAGGACAAAGGCACTCGGCATGAGATTGAACTGAAATCCGGTTCAAAATACTGTGTCATGAAGCAGTGGCCACTGCCTCGTGAACAGGTCACAGCGATCGACAGATTCTTTGCCGATCGTTTAGAGGCTGGTCATGTGAGGAGGGAATCAACGTCCCCACACAGATCTCCGATCTTCTGTGTGCGATAGGCCACAGGAGGGTGGAGGATAGTGCACGCGTTCAACAGATTGAACGCTGCAACGGTACCGGCTCAAACGCCGATACCAAGAAAGGACGTCATCATTGACGGTGTGGCAAAAAATACCATCTTTTCGTCCACGGATTTGATGAATGGATTCTGTCAGATCTCTTGCGTGAACGGGACATCCCGAACACAAGTGTGAGAACCTTCAGTGGTTTGCACCGGGAGTGGCTAGTGATGACACAGGGGCTAAGTAGCGCCCCTGCAACGTTCAACAGATGTGTTACAAATCTGTTGCGATCGGTGAGAGATTTTGCACCGCGTTTTTTTTGACGATGTCTTCGTCCGTGCCGGGCTTTGGATGGAAAGACGTACGTGAAGGTTCATAGAATCCACGTCCGGAAGGTTCTTACTCTAATGCGAGAGCATAAGCTGTTCGCGAACCTCAAGAAGTGTATATTTGTAGTGAACAAAATAACACTTCTTGGCTGCATCATGAGTAAAAACGGTGTACGCCCTGATCCGAAAAAGATCAAGGCGATTAGCGACTAGACTGTGCCAGTCGACGTCAAGGGACTTCGAAAGTCTCTTTGCTTGGCGGCGTACTTGAACAAGTACTCGCGAATCTTCGCCGAGATGACCGTACATCTCTCTCGTCTGTTAAAAAACGAGAGGTGGTCATGGAGCGCTGAGTGTCAGCACCCCTAGGAATGCATCAAAAAAAGCTTGATACAATCGCCTTTGTTGGCGATTGCAGACCAGGACAGACCATTCCATGTGATCTGTGACGCCAGCGATTTTACAATCGGCTGCGCCTTAATGCAGTACGACTCAGACGGTGGTGAGCGCGTCGTCTGTTATCAATCGCGTCAGCTGCAAGCAGCTCAGCGTAATTACTTAGTGCATGACAATGTACTCCTTGCCATGAAATATGCACTGGCTATGTTTCGGGTATATCTCTTAGGAGATAGGCCCTTCATCGTTTATACCGACCATGCGTCGTTACGCACGGCCGTTAACAGTCCACACCTCTCGCAAATAATGGCAAGATGGTTGTCTCTCTTTGGGGAGTACAACTTCTCCGTCGAGTATAGATCAAGGCGACTTCATGTCGTCGCTGATGCTCTTTCGCGTCGGCCCGATTTCGAGCCGACTGCTCAACACAACAGTAGGCTTGATACCACTGTAGCAACACTAACAGTGAGTGTTCCGTCGTCGAATCTGCTCGACGACGTGCGAAGAGCATACGCAGAAGATGAGTCTCTTCCGCGATTGATGGATTACGTATACAATCCATGCAATCAAGCTTTGAAAAGCTTGTCGTCTCAATGCCGCTCTTCAACCGAACGGTATTCGGTTCGTGATGGACTGCTTTACTATAAAGCAGTCAACGGCGACACACCTCGTGTCGTCGTTCCGGCTCATGATGATTTTCGATTGCGCATCACGTATGAGTTTCATGATGCCCCGACAAGTGGGCATCGCGGTAAGGAAAAGAATTACCTCACGGTAAGTCGTGACTTCTATTGGCCCCTCCAGTATGAGCTCGTGCACAAATGCATTCGCGCTTGCGAAGTTTGTCAACGGGTGAAGTCTATTCCTTCATACCGCGCACCCTTGCAGCCTCTTCCAATTCCGACAGAGTGTTGGCAGTCCGTATCGATGGACTTCGTCTTCGGATTTCCCAAAGACGTTCACAAGAATACTGGCAATCTTATGTTTGTTGATCGGTTCAGCAAGATGGTAACATCTGGTTGCTGTACCAGAGTCAATCACAACCTAAGGTTGTGCTCGTGTCTTCATCGATACTATCTTCCGACTTCACGGGTTATCCCCGTGAACTCGTGTCTGATTTGTGCTCCCGCTCACAGCGGAGTTCTGGCAATCCGTGTTCCGTTCACTTGGAACACGTTTGACGATGTCAACTTCTAACCATCCAGAAACAGATGGTCAGACGTACGCGTCAACTACGTCCTCGAAGATATAATTCGACGGTACTTCCACTCGTTTACGAGCTGAAGTGAGTTCTTGCCGATGGCAGAATTCGCCATCAACAACTCGGTGCACGCGTCGATAACGCATACACCGTTCTTCGTGAATGGCCTACGCCATCCACGTTTACCCGCCTTATTAGAGTGTGACTCCAGCTTAATGGGGGGGTGGACTCGCTCGAGCAAAAACGTTCTGGTTCTTGCTAATCACCCGTCGACAATGGTGTCGATGTGATGGATGCCGATGTCGATGCGATCGATGTCGATGATGATGATGACGACGATACTGGCATGTTCAGCATCGCCATCGAATGCCACAGTGAGGACGATGACACCCTCACTGGTGAAGACAACGTTCTTTAAGCAGTGCACACGAAGCGCACAGCTGTTGACAAGGATGAATCATCAGAGGAATTTCTGCTGACTCGCGAAGCGGTTGTCCGCTTCGTTCAAGATTCTATTGCAGATGGACTAGAATGATGGAGAAAAGAAATGCATGCAAACACGAAAGAGAAATTGTCTTTTCAATTGATGAAGGAGACCTGGTTTTACTGTCTACAGTAAATCTACTAAAACACGTAGTGACAAACGTGAGCAGCAGTAAATTACTGCCCTCGTAAATCGGTCCATTTCGTGTGTTGCGCCGAATGGGCAACGCATACACGATTAAACTGCCCCGTAAGATGCGTACGCATCCTACGTTTTACGTTGGACGTCTCCGCCCGTACTATCAGTACGAGCCCTTTTCGAGATACGAAGCACACCTCCGCGGTCAAGGGCCGAGACCACCTTCGAGTGGTCCTGTTTCAACGATCCAGTCTGGTCAACTAGCGAAGCGACCTGCTCACGCAGTTAAGCGATATCCTCACGAGCTGCAGTTGAGCGATGTCCGGACGAGGTGCAGTCAGCTCATCACGAAGAGAACGAACCGAATGTTCGTTCTCAAGTTGCGCAGACGCAAAAGCAGCACAGATCGTCCGAACGATCGTTCGTTTGGATATTGTAATTATCCTTTTACAAGATCATGGAGCTCGTAACGCCGAGTCCGTTCTTGAGCCAGGTCGTCTTGCAACTGTTCCGTGACACGGTTCAGTTCCTGAACATCAAGCTGATCCGACCCTCGAGCGGATCAGGTGTTCCCGCCGCCACCACATCCTTTGGTGGACTCAGGCGGTGGTCAACACTTTCTGGTTGAACGTATTTTGAACCACCGCGACGTGAATGCCGTCCGGAAGAGTTACCTCGTCCGCTGGCGTGGCTATCCACCGGCGTGGGACAGCTGGGAGCCTCGTGCCCAGCTGATTGTTGATGTCCTTGGTCTTGTCTAGCAGTACGATGAGACCCACCCGCTGCGTTCGAAGAAGAGCCGTCGGAAAACGACCTCCCTGTACGCGAGTACAGTGATTGCAAAGTGTCAATACCTTTAGCCATCTCAGAAGAGATGCGCGCCCTCCAGTAGGGTTCACTAGGGAGGTAGGCCTCCCTAGGGGCACGGTTCGAGTTGTCCAGGCAACTTGGACACGAATTACCCTATGAGAGACAGGGTAATTCTGCCTCTTTTTACAGTCGGTGCAACTTTTACCGTACACCAACTAGGTTACGCATCTCAAACCTGATGCGAGCTGCACCAAGTTTACCGAGCTAGGCCTCAAGCCGAAGCACTAGATGTTATGGATGAAGGCATTCTATCCTTGCACCAAGGCCTTACCTTCTTGACTACGTTTTCCGTTGTACCACCGATGTTCGAAAAATGCATCGGTAAAGAACTTTTCCTCAGCACGGATAGTTTTCGTGCTGGAATTTGGAGGACAGATCCTCCTACAGTCGAACAACGGGATACGATCCCGTTCGGTAGTCATGCCGGCCACTCTATCGAACTCCACGGATGATGGCATCCAAGGAGACTCCACTTGAGGAGCGTGGCGCAGGACATTTCGGTCCCTGGCCTCCTGATTGGTGCCAGCATGAGCACTGACGCCAGTGTTACCCCGATCCCTTGAATCAGTTCGCTCGTGGTGATGCAGTGGGGCATCACCACCATCCCCACGCATCCTATCGCTGGATGGACTTGCGTGAGGCGTAGATTCGTCGGAATAATCACTCGGTCCGAAGATCTCGGACACGATACCGCCACGTTCACCAGAGCCAGTCAACTTGGCCCTCTGCAGACGCAGTGGATGTATCTGTCGCACAGGGTGACTCACCACGTTGACTGTTCGCAACACCGCCTGTTGCTGAATTGCAACAGCAGGCAACGCATCATCTGCTGCTGCAGCAAGAGAAGAAATCTCTTCGGCTGCACGTATGAGTGCAACCGCTTTCTTACTGCCTCGGCAGCACACCGCTTGCACTTTGACATCATGCGATGAATTGGCAAATGAGTTGAAATTTGACCGACAAGTGCTCCCCTTCCCAGAGTGATCCAACGCTGGTCACTTTGTCCCAATCATTTAAATTCAATCAGCGGATGAATAATGGTTGGGGGGGGGTGATGTAACGGGGGAGCACGTTACACGATATTGACACCACACTGTGTCAATTAGGAGACTGTCTAGCATCACAATTCCCTGCCATTATTACCCGAAATGGATAAAATTGTAGGAGACACGAGAACTGCATTACTTTGTAAGATGATATTTATGTGCTGCTCACATATTGGATGATATAAGACATATCAACCATCGATTACTACCAATCGCTGCTAGACGCGCGTAATGAGTAGTGTGCAGGTTGTCATCATACGACAATGTAGATTGTTCTCGCTGGATAAAG